TTCCCCTATTGGCTAGGGTTAGATGGCTAAACTAATTCCGATTGGCTAATTTAAAGAGAGTGACAGGTTGAGTTGTCTGGTGGGAAAAAATGGTCATGCAGGGTGGAGAATGAGTCAGGGCAGAGGAGGTAGCAGGTAATTTGAATGAGTCAGGGTGGAATATGTGATTGAAATGTGTCAGGGTGGAGCAGGTAATCGAAAAAGGTTGCCTTATGAGGAAGTTACGTTTAAAAGTAGAAGGCAAAGAATTGAACATACTGACATATTGATTCTTTGAAAAGAAATTTAGAACTCATATCTAACAATACATATATATTTATATATATTATATACATATATGTATCAATTTGTATATGACAGATGTATATATGGCAGATATGTATATATTAATACTTATATATGGCATATAGACATTTATATACCTTGTGTGTGTATCTTTTCCTATAAGTTACTTAATATATTCACATTAGTTTAAAATCCTTATCTGCTAGTTTCAACACTTGGGTCATATACAGGTCTGCTTTTATTTACTGTGTTTTCTGTCCACTAGGAGTCATATTTTTCTGCTTTTTGTTAGGTCACAAAATATTTATAATGTTCTGAACATTATATACAATAAATCGATAGAGATTGAAGCATTATATTTCTTTTGTGTTTTATTTCCCCCAAAAGTGGTAGTTCTTTCCTCTGGCAGTTAAGGTGAGGATCTGTTCATTGAGACCCTTCCTAAAGTTGTTGAGCTTCACTGGAGCTGGACTATGATTAGCCCAACTTCCATCCCTCTGAAAAATCACTGCTTTGATATTTCAATATTTGAACTAGAGAGGCATTGACTGAAGTTATAATATTTTAGTTAATATTTTTATTTAGTACTGGCAAGGTCCTTATACATGTAACTTTGGTAAATTCACTCATTAGTTCTAGTAGTTTGGGGATTTGGGGGATGAATGGCCCAGAATTTTTTCTATAAACCATTAAATCATTTGTGAATTAAAGTTTCTTCTTTCTAAACTTTGCTTATTTTATTTCTTTATTTTTGTCTGGTATTGGCTAAATTGCTAGTAGAATATTGTGGTGAAGTAGGAAAAGCAGATGTCTTTGACTTGCTACCGAAATAATTCAGTATTTCATCATTGAATATGATATAAGCTATAGATTTTTCAAGAGTGCTTTTATCAGACAGAGGAAAAACACTTCTTTTCTTAGTTTGCCAAGAGTTTGTATCATGAATGGATGATGAATATTGTCAAATTTTTTTTGCACTCATGGAAATAATATTATGTTAATATATTGAATTACATTGATTTCCACATGTGAAATCAGCTTTACATTACTGGCATAAAGCACACTTGGTCATGATTTTTTTCTATTGCTGGGTTTGATTTGAGAATATTTTAAATATTTTCTCATTATAAAAAATATATATCCATATTTTCTTTTCTTAAAATTGTCCCTTTCTGGTTTTGGGGTCAGGGTAATTCTCGTCTCCTACTATGGAATGAAAAGTGTTTCCTTCTATTTTTTCTGAAAGAATTTGTAAAAAAAAAATTGTTATTTTTAAAATTTTTAAAAAATAATAGTAGCAAAAAAGTTTGCTAGTATTTATTAATTGAACCATATGACCCTAGAGGTTTTTTTGATAAATATTTAATTATGAATTCAGTTTTTTAATCAATGCAGGACTATTTACATTTTCTATTTTAATTGGATCAAATTTTATAAATGTATTTTTCAGGAAATTCACTGATTTTGTGTGTCTTTGAATTAATTGGCATAATATTGTTTATAATACTTCCTTATTACCCTTTTAAAATCATCAGTATCTCTCATGATCATCTTTTGGATATGTAAATTTTCTCTATTGTTCACAAATATTGTTTCAATTATTTCTACTCTTTATTGTTTCCTTCTACTTACCTTCTGTTTAATTTCCTTTTCTTCCTCTAGTTTCTTAAAGTGGTCACAGATTTTAAATCCTTCTTTTCTAATATAACTATTTAAAGATATAAACTTCTCATTAATCACTACCTTATTTGCACACCACAGTTTGATTTGATATCTTTTCATTATGATTTTGTTCTAAATATTTATTATATTTACTTGTGTTTTTTTTCTTTGGTTCACAAATTATTTAGAAGTGCAGTGTTTAATTTTCAAATGTTGGGGATTTTTTATATATCTTATTAGCATTGCTTTCTAAATTAATTCATTGTGGTCGGATATATACCCTGTAACATTTCAACTTTAAAATCTATCAATATTTACTTTATAGCCCAGCTATAGCCCAGGTCTATCCTTTTGGTAGCTGTTGCATATGCACTTGAAAATAGTGTGCATTTTTTCATTACTGGGTATTAGTGTCCTGGAACTATCAATTAGGTCACATTGGTGATAACGCTTTCCAAATCTTATGTGTATATTTTTTAAAATTTATTTTTGTCTACTTTTCTTCTGTTGGTTACTGTGAAAAGTGTGTCATAAAAGCTCCAACTATGATCATAGACTTATCTGTTTCTTCCTTTAATTCTGTCAGTTTCTGCATCATGTATTCTGTAACTCTGCTTGTAGGCATATGTTATGTCTTCTTGAATAATTTATTGTTTTTCATCATTTTCCAATTCCTTTCTTTATATTTGCTAATAGTCTTCATCTTGAGGCCTGTTTTATGTGATGTAATATTAGCTTGAACATCTTTCTTATGTTAATTATCTGTGTGGTATGTCATTTTCCATTCTTTGACCCTCCACCTATTTGGGCCTTAATCACTTTTCAGGTTCCCAGGATGCAGATGCTGAAGTATTTCCTGCAGGAGTTTATTTGGGTCGTGCTGTCAGTATTAGTTCCTTTTGAGGGGTATGAAAGAAGCAGGGCTGGATTAAGAGACATTGATCTGTAGTACCATTGCAACAAAGGTCTCAGCTAGTCTTATGAGAGGCCCTAGACTATGGTGACCCTTAGGGTAGGAGGGAATAGTCATTTTACTCCTCCATTGACCAGTCAGTAGATGAGGGCTGCCCTCAAAAAGAGTGTGCTCTTGGGCACAGTGACCTTCTTTAGTTGAGGGCAAGTTTTAGGAAGGAACTCAGTTGAAAGCTGCCAGTTGGTAACACTCTGAGCAGCTATGGGAATGAGTTCTTCAGGATGTCTGGGCGGTGTACCATAGTAGCACAATATGCTGATATTTAAAGTGCTTCTCTCGTAGATCCTCTGTAGTTAGGTCTTGGTTGTATAATCTAATCTGACCATAGTTGGCTGTTCATTGGAGTGTTTAGTTCACTGATATTTAGTGTAATCATCAATGTGTTTGAGTTCGAGTGTGCCATCTTGCTTTGTGTTTTCCATTTTTTCATATATATTATTTGTTTCCTTCCGTTTTTTTGGCTTAGGGTTAATTGAATTCTTTAAAATGCTATTTTAATCGTTCTGTTGGCTTTTTGTTATACCTGATGGTATTTTTCTTAACATTTAACGCTAGGGATTACTGCATGTACCCTAAACTTAACCTCTTATCCAAATTTAATATAACACCTCATGCCAAATGAAGGAACCTCGAAAAATATAATTTAACCTCACTTTTTGCTATTGTTATCACATATTACATCTATATTATAAGTCCCTGTATATAATGCAATTATTTTGGCTTCAATAGGCTATCTTTCATGAATTAAGAGAAAAATAAAAGATAATCTCTTATCTTTACCTATATATTTACATTTATGTTATTCTGAATTCTTTCCTGTAGGTTTGAGTTTTCGTCTGGTATCTTTTCTTTGATCTGAAGGTCTTCCTTTAGTATTTGTTATAGTTCAGGTTGTTGGCGAGAAATTCTCTCAACTTTTATTTATCTATCTTGTATGTTTCTTTCTTTCATGAAAGCTTGTGTAGCTTCTTTGGGCTACTGCACAGTTCTTTTTCCTGGTTTCCTTTTCTTTTTTTCTTTTTCCTTTTTTTTTTTTTTTTTTTTTCCGTGATGGAGTCTGGCTCTGTGGCCCAGGCTGGAGTGCAGTGGCACGATCTCCGCTCACTGCAAGCTCCCCCTCCCGGGTTTACGCCATTCTTCTGCCTCAGCCTCCGGAGTAGCTGGGACGACAGGCGCCCGCCACCAAGCCCGGCTAATTTTTTTTTTTTTTTTTTTTTTTTATATTTTTAGTAGAGACGGGGTTTCACCATGTTAGCCAGGATGGTCTGGATTTCCTAACCTCGTGATGTACCCGCCTCGGCCTCCCTAAGTGCTGGGATTACAGGCGTGAACCACCGCGCCCGGCCTCTAGTTTCTTTTTCAAAAGATGGTCAGCCCTTCAAGAATCACAGTTTTATTTTATCCCAATTGTAGCACAATCCCTGGAGCAAACATAAGTCAAAGCTCTATTCCTGAATTTATACCAAAAGTGTTACAAAACCAGCTCTCAGGACTTGGGCTCATTTTTCGGCTCCCTGGGTCAACAAGGTCAGCTGGAAGCTTCCGTTTAATTTTGAGTTCACACTTTATTTCTAGCTACTGATTTCTTCATTATTGGTGGCAGGGATTGCCAAATTTGGGGAATTAAACATTTTCGGCTCTCTAGTATGTAGCTAAGGTGATCAGTTTAGGAGGGTGAGTATGTGTATCAGCTTAAATTGCCAAGATGACAGAATTTGCATTTTTTCTTACAGTATTATATGGAACAGTCATAGGATTATTTTTTGTTATTTCTATATGTTAGTAATAACATAATATGTTTTATTTTTATGTTAGTAATGTGTTTTCCATATTATGTTATATTATTACAAACAGGTTATGAGGCTTAACCTACTATGGAAGCTTTTCTTATTTATTTATGCATTTGTTTGTATGTATGTTTGTTTCTAATGAACTGGCATGTTCATCTGGTTGACTAAGTCTTAGATACTGGTTTTAATTATTACCATGAGATCACGTGGTCAATAGAATAATATTTGTAGTCTATTAAAAAATAACTGCTGCAATTTCAACTCTTCTCTGCTGCTTGCTGCTCTACCAGGTCTATGGACATGCAGGACCTAGCAAGTCCTCATACTCTTGTTGGAGGTGGTGATACTGCAGGTAGCTCCAAACTGGAAAAATCTAATCTCAGCAGCACATCAGTTACTACAAATGGGACAGGAGGTAAGTGTACTACCCTGAAGAAACCCAGAATCACATTTCAGTGTTTGCTTTAATTTTACTTCTTAGGGATCTGCTAATAAATAAATATCTTCTTATCAATAACACAAATCAGCGTTATATCCAAAGTATATATAATTAACATTGATTGTTTTGATGATTTTCTTGAAATTTTTGCTCCTCCTCTATAGCTGGGAACTTTCACAGAGAATAGATAGCATTGAGCAACATTTCAAGGGCCTTGAGCAAGGCTTTCTTTTTATATTTGCCCTTGTAAATATTCCACAAAATTTAGAAATTGAGGCCAAAGGATTTCCACCCTGGTGTTAGCAAAAATTTCTCTATGTGTTGTGTGTGTGTACACACAACTTTTTGGTTTTGTTTTGAATTATAAAGAAAGGTTACCTCAACATTTTTCTTAAAAATGTTTTTTCTTATAAGTGCTTTATTAAAAAAAACACATGATTTTGGAAATACAAAAATACTAATATCTGCTGCATTTTCTTTTCAAACAGAATAACACCGAACATTTATTTAAAAAGGAATTGCTTTTTTTTTTTCAGATAATTTCTCTTTCTATTAGCCCATAATTATGCCACAGCATATGGCAACAATAATAGCTATTACTTCAGATATTCTGCTTTATTATTTTTATAAAATGTATTCAACTTGTCAGAAAATGTGATCCAATTTTTGTATCAGAATGTATATTTATAGAGAGATTATGTACACACTTATATATAGACTGTATTTTAAATTATTTACAATTTGAAATTTTGTAGATCCATCTAGCCAATAAATTTAGAATTATATGACATTTAATTTGTAAAAACTATATTGTCAGATATTAGCATTTGCCACATCATATTTTCTTTTAAATTTTAAATAAATATCTATGAAATTGATACACCTCTTCCCATTTATTTTAGAATAACGATGCCATCTAAAATTTTCTTTGTAAGGTTGTGTGCATTGCAACTTACCTGTATTTAATAATGTTTTACACCAATTCCCTTGTAGATTAACATTTTCCTTGTTTATGATGTTTATTTGTCTCTAAACATGCATCTGTAATTTCACCTAATTATGCAGTTGCAAATGTATAGAATATTTAGTGATGAAAACTGGAGGAAGGTACATTTAAACCTTAAATTGGGTACAAATAATACAATTTAAAAACTCAAGCACTCTAGAACCAGACTGGTGATGCATATATTTGAACTGAAACAAACCTGATAAACTAAAATGTTAAATTCATACAGTATAGTTACAATTTTGGCTAAAAGTTCAGAAACCAGTGCAAGCATTAAAGATTATTCATATCAGGAGGCATTCAGACAATGAACTTTTATACTGTTCCTGTTCTTAGGGGACAACATGACTGTTTTAAACACAGCAGACTGGTTGCTGAGTTGCAACACGCCCTCTTCTGCAACAAGTATGAGAGATGCTGGTACACTGCATGTGTTTGGGTGTGTGGATTTGCCCCCTGGATTGCTGTCTGTTGCCGTGTCTATGTTTGCATCTCTTTTCTGTGTTCAGTACTGAAAAAGGAAAAATGAACATGCCTTTTAGTAGTTTATTGACAGCAGTTGGTTATGATTTTTTATTAATTTATATTCTTAGATTTTTTTTTAGGTCAGTAGTATTCTTTTCTTAAATATTACATAATTTCACCTAAATGATGCATATATTAGTTTTCTCACTATTTATCAGTTTTATTACATGATTAATTTTGCCCAACAACTGCCATGTCAAATAGAGCAATTGAAGCAGAGTGGCCATGCATATAAACTTAATCACCTTCGTAATCCATAGACTTTCATAATTTAAATTAAATTCTTAATAAAGCAAAAGATATTTTCTACTTTACAGATTTTGGGAATTATTCCAATGTATATAAAGTAACATTAATAATCAGTATCCCATCACATTAAAAATTGTCAGTGGTGAAAGCCATACATTTAAAATTAGAAATTAATACTAGCTTTTTAATTTTTTTGTACTTTGGATACTAACTACGTTCATACTTACACACATATTAACAAACTTTCTCTTAAATTAAATGCTAACTTGCTAAAAAAATCAAATACAACAAAGCCATCACATTTTTGTGGCACCACCCAGTTGTAGAATCAAAAAGGAGCTCATGCCTGTTGGAAATGTGTATCACAAACAAACAGAGTAGGCACAGTTTGGCTGGACCTTGCTCTATCTCTGACTAAATTAGAATATATGATCAGTGAAGAAAAAGTACTTCAGTATGCTCATTATTTGTATTTGTATAGTTTTAGTTTTAATTTTTTCATTTTATACTTAAATATACTTTTCATACTTAAAAATATGTTGCTAGAATTTAGATACTGTTAATTCTATAGCACGGTCTTTTTTTGTAAAGGGCCAGATAGTAAATATTTTAGCTTTGTAGGTCACATGTCTGTGTTTCAGCTGCTCAGCTCTGCCATCATAGTGCAAAAGCAACCATAGAAAATATGTAAATGAATAAGCGTGGCTATGTTCCAGTAAAACCTTGTGAGCCCTAAAATTTAAATTTCATATAATTTTCATGTGTCATGAAATATTATCATTTTGACAACATTTTAAACATTTAATATGTAAAAAAATGTTCTTAGCTTACTGGCTGTGGTCTGTTCTCAAATAGTGTTTAATGCAAGCAACATTATAATAGTGAATATGTGCAATAAATAGTAATTTACCTCTAATCTCAACCAGAAACATTTTTCTAAGTGGTAAGCATCAAATTTTCCTGGTTCTTAATGTCAGTGTTAAAACTCGTGAGGCCATGGGAGAAAAACAAGGAGTTGTGTTGTCAGGGCCGCCATGGATCTGGATCTTAGCACTACCCTTACTGGCTGTGTCACCTTGAACAAGTTACTTAAGCTCTCTGAGCTTCAATTCCTTTCTCTAAAAGGATGATAATAATACTTCTTGACACGACTTTTGTCTTAGATAATGTATATAAATTGCTTAGTAATGAATATCAGTATATCTTCCTTTCTTTGATTAGTAATGCAATAATAGGCAAAAACTTTTTAAGGGAAATGAAAATATGCATTGTGTTAACAGACTCTCCATTTGGTCAGATAAATTTATTTGCATTTAGAAATGTGTAAACTGGGCTAAAGAAAGCAAACTTTTGGTAACAAAATGTTAAACTTTGATTATTAATAATATAGTCCTGGTAGCATATTATATGAAACTTTTAATGAATTTCAGTGACTTTTTTTTTTCTTTTGAAATGGAGTCTCACTCTGTAGCCCAGGCTGGAGTTCAGTGGCACGATCTCTGCTCACTGAAAGTTCCATCTCCCAGGTTCACCCCATTCTCCTGCTCAGCCTCCAGAGTAGCAGGGACTACAGGCACCCACCACCACGCACAGCTAATTTCTTATATTTTTAGTAAAGATGAGGTTTCACCGTGTTAGCCAGGATGGTCTTGATCTCCTTGACCTTGTGATACACCCACCTCAGCCTCCCAAAGTGCTGGGTTTGCCGGCGTGAGCCACCATGCCCAGCTGAATGTCAATGACCTTTTATGGTGGGCGTTTGTGACACAGACTAAGCATTTGTTGTGTGATCTCTTCTATTAAGAATAAACTGTTTTATTTTCAATTCTTGGTTTTTATTGTTGGAATTGGAGCACTTCATAAAATTATAATAAAACAAAACGCAAAAGAAAAGAACTAATTTAATAGCTTTTCAAGATCATTCCAATAACTTGAGATGTTCAAAAAGATTATTTATTTATTTCTTTATTTATTTAAGACAGAGTCTCACTCTGTCTACTAGGCTGGAGTGCAGTGGCGCCATCTCGCCTCACCGCAACTTCCGCCTCCCAAGTTCAAGTGATTCTCCTGCCTCAGCCTCATGAGTAGCTGGGACTACAGATACACACCACCACGCCCACCAGGATAATTTTTGTACTTTACTTAGTAGAGGCTGGGTTTCACCATGTTGCCCAGGCTGGTCATGAACTCCTGACCTCAGGTGATCTGACTACCTAGGCCTCCCAAAGTGTTGGGATTACAGGCGTGGGCCACCACACCTGGCCTAATTTTTTTTAATTGACATAAGTTGATAGTATCACCTTTAGATTTTATCATACTATATTGGTGCTCTTTAAGTATGTTGCAATATTCTTGAAAGTAATTTAAGGTGTTTGCCTACCTTAATCCTTATTATATATTACATCTGCAGATTTATATGGAATATAGATTTTCCTTTGAAATTTTTAGCACTTGTAAAATTATTAAAGTGTAAAATATGAAGATAGCATAAATGCAAGCTTACCTTAGCAAATAAAGCAGAGGTCAGGCCTTGTGAGCTGTCTGCTCTCTGTTGTCGCTATTTAGCTCTGCTATTGTTGCACAAAAGCAGCCATACACAATATCTACACAAATTAACATGATTGTATTTAAATAACTTGACTTTTGAACACAGAATTTGAATTTCATTAAAATATTCATGTAACAAAATATTCTCCTTTTGATGTTTTTCAGTCATTTAAAAAGGTAAAAACCATTCTTAGCTTAAAACCATACAGAAACAGACCATGAGTCAGATTTGGTACAACTCCTGATATAGATCTATATGCATATACATAAGTTATGTTGTACATATAAGAGTGCATGCCAATCATATGAACCTTTACTTCCAGATATAGGTAATTCCAGATTCTAATTTGCTGAATGGTGTCAGGATTCATGATGAACTACACTTTATATACAAAAATACTTAGCTCTATTGGGAGGGCTAGGGCAGGATCTAAAAGAGTAAATTTTCACTTTCTCATTTAATTGAAGTGTATCAAGTTCCTATTATATGCCAAGTTCTATGCTAGGAAATGGGAACCCAGTGACCTAAAGAACACGATACCAGCCATCCAGGAACCAAAAGTCTAGCAGAGGGAAGCAGACATGAAAATAATGAATGCCATAATGTGTTCAAGGTGGATGAACAGTGGAGGGAGGGAATATTTGATTCTACATGGAGATTAAGAAATGACTTCAAAGGAAAGGTTTGGGGGAATAGAAATCAGACATTCTGATCAGCTTTATTTTTTTTCTATATTTGAAATAAATATAGAAAAGAATCTTCTAGAATTTTTACTGTAGAGACGATTGACTCACATGTAATGAATTAGTATTTGTGCAGTAGAGCTACCTACTGCTGTGGGTCGGCTCTTTGTAGAGATTTTTTTTTAGAATAAAAGTCATAAATGTCCTCATCAAATTATTTTACAAAATTAAATACTTTATGGGTAGTTAGGAATGAAAGACACTTGGTAATCATAGGTTTCTGAATGAATATATTGATTCAAACAAGCATAAATCATAGGCTATACTGATTATTAAAACCAGTAGGCGATACTTTTACTGCTTCCCTGCAGTGTTATAAATTGTAACTTTCCTGATCTAACTTTCTGAAATTCTTTGTAGAAACTAGGCTGTCAAAAGCCTCTGTATGTGCTTTTTGGGGTTCAGAAAGAAGTGTATGTGGAATTACATATATGTAGTTTTTTAAATGGACACCTTAAACTGGTGCACACACACCTTAATCTGTGTTTAAACTACACTGATTTATGAAGATGAAATGTAAGTGTAAGTTATGTGGGTTAGAGGATGAAGCCTGAATTGCAACAAATGAATATGAACTTTGAGTTATGATAATAAAACAGACTTTCTCTAAAAGTAATTAATCAACATTAATGTTGTACTTAAATTCTAAAGACAATTTAAGGGGACAAGAGTAAGATTGCTTTAAAAATAAGTGTATGGCAGTAGGGATGAAGGTTGGGATGTGAAGACAGGAAATCTGTGACTTAGTAGCCATTACTGATACCTGACAATAATCATGTATGACCTTAATTCAGTCTATACATAAGAACTATTTTTCAAGCTAAAAAAATGGAAAAGCCAATCATGTGTATTTATTTATTTTTACTATTTGGCTCTGTCAAAAACATCCAAGTTGCAAGTAGCTAACTAATGGGGAGCTGGGCCTGACAATACAAGAATTTCTTAACAGTTCTGGACAAAGTGCTATAGAAAGTAATTTTATGCCACTTTTAGCAAAATGAGCTCTGACTCCCTTACTTTGAAGATATAGAATAATAATCCCACAAAACTCCTCAACCTAAGACATTAAAATATCAGTTTCCTTTGAAATCAAAACATTTTGTGTGTAAGCTTGCATTTGGTTAAGAAATATGGTGCTTGTCTTCTGTAGAAGGATTTTGCTTCCGTCTTATTGCGTGTAATGAATTTGGATGCTGTCCTGAAAATAAATTAAAAGCCCCGTTTAAACATCATGTTAATTTAAGAAAAACAAAATATAGCTTAAAAATACATTTGAACAGTCAAGGAATAGACACTGATAATTATTTGGAATAAGGATTTTTACAAGTTAATAGTAATAGGACTACTAATTTTTATCTTACTAATGAACATGTCTTACTTATTAGTAATTTGTCTTACTAATGAACATTTTTCCAATAGTGTCTTGCATATATTTAATGAAAAGCTAAGTTTCCTGCCACTGGAAAAGTATATAGTAGATGTAATTTCAAGTGCAGAAACAAAAGCAAGATAAAAGAAAATAGCGTACATTTCAAATGTATTTGTAGCTTCAGTGAAAATAACGTGTTTTCCAAGCTTTATCTATAATTATTTTATAATGTTTATACTAGTTTACTGTTACATAAATATCAAGATAATATTTCTTTGTATTCTAACATGTTTTAATAAATCAGCTAATAATATAAGGAGTGTCTATTCACTTCTCTGAGCTTTCTACTGCTGAAAAAATAGTTATTTCTTATTACCTAATATTACTGCATTTTATTTAGAAAAATCAAAATAACTTTGGGACTTACTTCGAGCTCGAGAGGTGCTTGTTGGTGCTCATTTAATGTGAGTGCAGTTTATTTTCTGTGACAGAATAAATGTTTTATTTCCACTCTTCCCTTTTGTTCTACCCTTACTTGCATAGGAAAAACAGTTTTACATTGGCATGCACCACTTCCCCCAAATGTTAGCATCCATTTTGTTGAATTATTACTTTAAAATTCAGGCATTTTAGTAAAGCTAATACATCGTGCTTTTTACTCCTCTCTTCATATACTTTCCCAGGGATGCCTTTTCTCAGTAAAAGGAACCTCTTTGTCTATCTTTGACTAAGGGCAAACCTTTAAAATTTTAATGAGAGATGTTTCCAGTATAACGAATTAGACCAAAAACTCGCTCTCTCCTTCCTCTTCTTTCTCCTCTTGACCTCCCTAAACTTTCAAATTAAAGAGATTATAATCAAAACCAATACTAAGCTTTTGAAATCAGGTCTAAGAGTTGAAATTCAAAGTAGCAAAACTAATCTTCATGTCTGGCTTCTAGACGACTTTTGTTAGACACAGCTCTCATTCTACCACCTCCATTCACAAGTAAAATCTGTGTTACTATTACTATAATGAAGCTACTTTTGCAAATACTGTTCATAGATATAGATATGCATACATAGGAATTTCGCTGCAAGTAGAAGTCAGAAGCTCTGATAAACTGTTTCTTAGTTTTGTTGAAGGCTTTGGGCCATGCCTTTTTGTCATAAATGTTAGAAGTCAAATGTGAACATTGCATGAGATGGAGTAGCCTTTATACCCATCTAGATTATACTCTGCATTATCTTCATACAGACAAAAGGAATTCTTGATGAGCTAATGTCACCTGAGAGGCAGTATGGTTTAGAGTTTGGATTCTGAACACGCACCACTTGGTCTCAAATTCTAGCTCTTACAAGCTTTGTGACTGGGAAAGTTATTTAACCATTTTGTGCCTCAGTTTCCTTATCTGAAAAATGAAGATGATGATATTATCTACTGACTGTTGAGAGCAGTAAATCAGTTAATAGGTGTAAAGGGCAAGAGCAACGCCTGGAATGTATCAAGTGCCTTTTAAGGGTGTGCTGTTACTGTTACCTAATTTCAAATTTGCTACTTCTTGTTGTCTTTTAAAATATCCCATGAGGAAGAAATGGGAAATATGCCTTAGTGTCCTATTCCAGTATTGTGCAGTTTTTATTTTTAATGAAGTATTTTTAATTATTCTATCTAGGAGATAACTGCATTCTCATTATGCTTTGGGCCTTTAAGAAGAGGCACTGTCATGAGCATAAGCCATTTTCATACCCAAAGGCAGCCTGATACGGTGGAAAGATCCTGCGTATTAGAGCTAAAAACCTGAGTTCAAATCTTAGCTCTACCATCTCCTGCACTGGAACTTGTGCAGGCTCTTCAGCCCCCACTGCACTTCAGTTTTCTTGTCTATAAAATGGTTATAGTGATTTGTATTAATTAGGGTTGTTTTAAGGATTAGCTAAATGTACATCATCTAGCATATAGTAAGCTCTCAATAAGTATTAGTTATATAGGAGTAAATAAAAAGGTGATAAAATGATTTTGTAATGATAGGTTTAGTGATTGATAAGGTATAACCATAATAGGGACTACTGTGCAAATTACTACTGAAAAGTTATAACCACTAATTTATTATTTATCATTATATAAATAGACTATTCTTCAGATCATTGTTGCTATTGAAAGATAAGTCGAACTTGAATTTCCTTTTTTGCTAAGAAAAGCAATCCAAGTTTCTTTACTTTCCGTTTCCAACATTTACATTTCTCCTCTGAATCTTCCAGCCGATCAAGTCATTAATAAATCATGGATACTAAATTAACACAGAGCTCACTGAGGGTCTGGTTAATTCTGTTCATGTGGAAAAGAGCATAATCATTACCGCATGGTTTTCTATCAATTAATTGCTTTTCTAACAGAATAACATTACTGACTTGTGTGATTGGTGGGTACCCTATGACTGACTGTTCTTTTTTGCCCTTTGGCTAGTCTTCAGCTTTTCTCTTTGTAATTTTCTGCTTGCTTCTAAGTTATTTAACTGTATCGTTCATTTCATTTATGACCAGGAAACACAAGAGGTGTTAAGTAGAAAATAGCTTAGTTTATTTCCTTGCTGCTGTGATATATGTAGTAAAGCTTTGCCAACAAAGGGAAAATATGGTGTGACCAAATGGGTAAAACTTTATTATCACCCCCATCACCCTTATCGCATCTAATAATGATAATAATGTGTACTAGACCACTTTATTACTGAGCAACGATTTTGCCAAAATACACCACTGCCATGTAGAAATAACATATTAAAAGAGTTTTCAAAAGATGTACTTGTTGCTGTATAAGTCATCTTTTTCTGTTCTTATCTCTATAACATATTAAAAATTGTTGTACCGTTAAAAATAAGAAGCCCAACACCTTATAGCTCGTGAGTGTTTTTTAGAGCTTCATTGAGTGCTTCATTTTTCGTTCATTGTGTGAATGAGCCCATGGTTTCTATACTTTTATATATCTCCATTGTATTATTATGCAAACTTAAAAATATCTTCCTGAGAAAAATAAAATATAAGCTAGTAATTTTCTCTGGTATAATTCTGATTAAATGTGTGGAAGACTGATGATGATTCCTTTTTTCCTATTGACTACGTGAGAGTGTGTTTAGGTGAATTAAAAATACAAATATGTGTACTGCTGTTTCACTTTTTAAGGTTGACTGCCTTTAAAAGCCAGATTTGAGAGAACTGGCTTGGCCAGAGGATTTTAGATTAAATCCTCTAAATGCATGCCCCTTTAGAAGCTAAATTAACAAACTCTCTTCATCAACTTCTCAAGTTTTCTCTTGCATGCCCATGGTAGCTAGAAAAATCACTAGTAGAACGGACAGAGTCTTTGACATAAATTTAGAAGTAAAACTCACATGTACTTATTCTTCTACATAGTGTCTCTTCTTGCAGTCAAAACAGAGCCCTTGAACAGCAGTGAAACCACAACCACGACTGGAGATGGAGCGCTTGACACTTTTACTGGGTCAGGTAAAGCCTTTAGCTCGTGTGTCATTACGTACACATGGGGGTGCGTCCACATCCTCCTCCTTGGGAATAAGCAGCATAACCATCCAAGCTCTTAGAACTTTGATCTTTATAAAGCTAGAAACAAGTTCTTATTTTTTTGAGAACTAATAGTCATAACCAGTATGCATTGTTACAAATTATATTTAGAATAATGTTGCTTGATATTGTAGTTGACAGCAAAAGTTTCATGACTTTCTTATTACAGATAAGTAAACTTAACTTCCTTCAAAATTATTTTATACAGTGCTTAATTAATTTAATAATTAAGTTGTAGTAGCTGACCTTGCTTCTTCAACTTATCCATTTGAATTACATAAAAACTACCTTCTGTTTAACATTCGAGATGTAAAACTATCCATTTGATTCCTTCTAAATAACCTTGTTTCCTCTCTGGGTTTAAAAAACTCCTCCTGTGTAAGCAGCTGAGTGACAAGTATTAAAGGTTAATGGGCTGCAGGAGAGCACATGCTGGTTGCATTAGAACCCAGCCTCTGAGAGTGCTCGTATGCTTCAAAGAGAACAATAGCATGTCTTTAAACATCAATCCCTTTAAAATATAAATACCTGATAACTCCCAGCTGGGCACAAAGGGCATGAATTAAGTTGATTCAATTAATTTTTTTTAAGTTACAATATTTCTTTGGCTTATTATCTGGTGAAAGGATTTTTCTAACCTGAGGAGGAATGGGTACATCAGAAAGAAGAACATTAAACGTAGAAATGTATCTGTGGTAACTGAATCTCGGTTCTGTTATTCTACTTTAATACATTTTACATTTTACATTTATCCATATTCTCATGTTATAAGGATTTTTTGTCAGTATGTTTTATGTAAAAATAGTTGAGATATGTCTTAGAGTATTATGTCATTATAGCATATATTTGATTTTTACAGATGATCTAATTTCACTAGTTCACACCGATTAAAAGCAGTTGCCATGTATTTACATAAATATTAGTACTCCAAGAAAGAAATACTAGTACATAAACTTTGCATAAAGACTCATGTGTACTAATACACATCTTTTCTAGCAGTTTACCTGCCTCTCGGGAGATAAATAGTTTACCAGTTCAGTATTCTGTATTGCACACCTACCATAGGTTTTATAAACTTTCTGCAAAATAAATCTATATGAACAAATTTTTAAGGAAAGGAATGGAGTTATTAATTTATTGCTGACATACTTCAGTAGTATACTACAAGTTCATTGAGAGCTGAATGACAAAACTATAAAGTGTTAGCTCCAGAAGGAATTTCAGAGCTCTCTGATCCATTTTGTAGACGAGAAAAGTTAAAAGTGGTTAAGGCCATACAGTCAAGGCCTCACAGCTGGTCCGTGGTATGAGTCTAGAACCATGTCCTTATGATCAGCCCCTGGGTCCTTTCTGTAATACCCCACCAGAAAATAGATGAAAAAAGAAATAGGTATGAACAATCATCCTGTCTGAAATTCACTCATATTATCTTTATAGATATTTTCCGAATTTTTTAAAGAATTATCTAGGGATGTGCTCTCCAATAAGGTAGCCACTAGCCATATGTAGTTATTAAAATTTGATAAAATTAAAAATTTTGTTTTTAATTTTCATTTTCACAGCAATAATGCAGTAAGTATATTTTCAATAATATTAATGCATTTTGAAAATCATCAAGTATGACTAGAGGTGTTAAGTTCTCAATATTTTCAGCAACCAAAATTTAACTGAATTTTCAAGTTTAAACACATTTCAAGTGTTTAACAGCTGCATGTGGTTAGCAGCTACCATATTGGAAGCTCAGATACAGAACATTTCCAACTCTGTGGAAAGTTTTATTCCACAGCAGTGATCCAGGGCAGGGATTATCAACATCAGCACTGTGAAAGACTCGGGCTGATTGTTTAGTGTGGGAAAGCTGTCCTCTGCACCGTAAGATGTTTGGCTGCATCTATCCCAGAATGCCAGCAGCACTCCCCCAGATGCTGCTTTACTGAAGAAGCAACCAAAGATGGCTTACTAAAGACAACCAAGAATGTATCCAGACTGTTTAAATGTCCCCTGACAGGCAAAATTCTCACCCCCACCCACTTCTCATCCCGTTGAGAGTCACCAATCTAAGATGGCATGATAATAAGAATGAAACCTTAAAATTGCTTTGACACCACCAGAGAAACTGATAGTAGACATTAAACATTTATTTAAATTAATTTTCAGGGCATTTCGAAAACAAGCTGGTTTGCTTACTGTTGTATACAGAAATGATGGAATGTAATGAGTATATTGGGTAATGTTTATGATTAATCAAATGACAGTGGGGAATAAAACAAAGGTCTTTCAAGTTTGTACAAGATATTCCAGAAATCATTCCGGAAATGAGGTTGCCCTTTGTGAGAGCAGTCTTTACTTTGATCTGCATAATTTCCACTCACTTTAATCCAATTTTGTTGTTCTTTTCAGTTATCTGCAAATTTCTGAATTAGAACAAAATGTATGTATTTTAGTAAAGAAGCATAAACTTTCCTACGTGAACATCGTAGTTTTCTGAGTCTAAGGTTTTGTGTTCTATTTAGAAAATGAACATACAGACATTAATAGAAAATTGTAAAGGTTAGTTGAGCCTTTATAGTGTTGTGAGTACATTATTCTAATGATGTTTAGTTTTATCATTAGAAGAAACATCCTGTATATTCAGAATTGAGTTCGTGTATATGGGTTTTTTCTGAAATGTGTAATTTTGATCTATGTCTTATTTATTAGAAGTCACTATAATGAATATTTATCTTTATTATTCAGTGTCTCTTTGGAAAAGTCTTCTATTTCATAATATTGATCGTAACTAGTTAGTATGGCCCAAATCTTGAGTGTACCAAGGAGAAATTCTGTAAAGAAGAGATGAAAGAATATATAATTAAGCCTCATTTAACTATATTTCTGTTGGAGTATTTGGTATTGTGAATTGATAAATTAGAATGACTATCTTTGGAATAACACTATTATTATGAAATGTACATTTAATGCCCATTGTGTAGTAGAACAAAGAGTCTGTTTTCATTAAGTTGATTTGAAAATTTTAAAACATTCTTTAAGTTTTAATAAATATGTAGAAAATTAATAGTTTATTGGTTCAATTTATTTTCGATACATATCAAATTCAGTTAAGTTTGGATTGCTGAAAATATTTAGAAGTAACACCTTTAGTCAAATTTGATGATTTTCAAAATTGACTGATAATATTCTTAAAAATATACTTACTGTATGAAATATACTTACTGCTATGAAAATGAAAATATTCTTTCCATATTCAGAGCTTATAGGCAAAATAGCATTTTAAACACATTAAATTTTGTGTGTTTGTGAAGCACATCACAAGGGTACTTGTGGTATATATAGAAATATATGATGTTTCATAAAATAGTTAGCAACCTAAACCTATTTGTCACTTTTACAATTCTAAAAGTTTAGCTCCAGAGTTATTATGAACAACTTAGAAAGGACATAGTACTTTGAAGTATAACTATGATTGATTAGACTAAACTAATTCCAGCACTGCATTGTGTACTGCTTTAATCTTTTTGAAAAGTGAATGAACAGCAGATGGCCCAATAAAGACACTCTGTGTGCTCACGCAGTGTGGATTGGCTCTAAGGGAACTGGCTCACACTTTAGAGTCCATATATTTGCAAAACATCTGTCTTAGTCAAGGCAGATAGTTAAAGGAAAGAGAAACTTCCAAGCTTTTGGATATATTCCAGTTTGGGGCTCCATGTTTGGATGAACTGTTAATAGGACCGACTTTCACCTTTCAGTTCTTCTCAGAAAAGTATTATCTCTAATAGTTCAAAGTTTATTTGTAAATATAATTGCTACTACATTTTGTGATTATATTTTAAAGAAATCACCTGTGCTTTCTTTAATTATTACTGGAATGTTTTAGACTGCATTTTTAATTGTTCATCTGATGGGTAAAATGAGAGGAAATAGAATACAATCGTATTGTAGTGTTAGAAAACGAAGTTTGGAACATCACACTCTTCTTATTTTGTATTGTATTTCAATTAGAACAAATATGGAGAAAGAGCGATATGTACATATTGCCATCATATTTGGCATTTTAAAATGTAAAGTTTGCAAATTTTAAAAATTTACTTTTATATTATGAAAGCTTAATTACCCTGTAATCAAAGATATTTATTCATAGCATATTAATACATAAGAGCACGCTAATGATGTGAGAAAATGGAGTGGAAGAGTGATAGAGGGAATGATTTGTGAGACAAATGTTTGTATCATGCTTTTTGCACAAAACTCAAAGCAGTTTAATTAGGAGAAAGTGTTTAGGCAGCTGTTTCTTTTTAGAAAATGAATTTTTGGAAACGTGTTTAACACGGTAATTTCTTCAAATTTGTTATGTACACTCTAGCGAAATGTATTTATGAAGCAACCTTTGGTGCACTGGTATTTTTGTGTCTTACAGTAATTACAAGTAGTGGCTACAGCCCCAGATCAGCACATCAGTATTCCCCACAGCTGTATCCTTCCAAGTAAGTGGTCAGTAGATTCTTTGTTTCATTAGAAATTTTTTCCAGCATTATCTTTATTAATCTGTATTTGCACAATTTGACAAGTTTAAATTGGCAAACATTTATGTCTATACATGTATTATAGTTAGTTGGATAATGCTTGGATAGATTAAATATGTAGATAAATATCCTGTACAAATTTGAAATAGAGACACCCACGTTTATCTTGATAATTCCCTTGAATATTTATATATACCTTGAGAAAAATATCAAGCTCAAATTAGAATACATTGCATTTTAATTCAAATTCAAAAATATTGGCTGGTTAAAAAATCTAAAGAGATTGCATTTTATCTAAATGTCAACACTTCATAATTAATTCCATCATTGAAATTCTTTTGTTGGATTTCCAGTTCTAATAAACATATTTTTGGAGAATATGCTTTATTGTTTTTTATAACTAATATAGTCACTTTATTGAGGACAGTCGTAGATATTTCTTAAGTTTAACTATATTGAGTGTATATCTGAATTGGTTGGGAATCAGCCAGACGTGCCACGATTGTGTATTGCTGATACATACACATTTAAATATAGTATGCTATTTTCTGCAGCATCTAGAATGTCTGCCTTTACATTTATATAGACTGGAGGTTGGTTATCCAGTGGAGAACATGATGTAAAATGTGGCATGATGAAAGGAATGATGTTCCTTTTTTTTTTTTTGGAAACTTCCTGCCTTTCTTTTTCTTTTTTTAAATTTCCAATTCTTAGGAGCGAATTCTTAGTACGGCTTTTAAATAGACTTTTGTAGTCTTTGCATAGCATTAAGTCACTCATGGTGAGTGTGAATTTGCTCATGAGCATATTAATAAAGCTTGCGTGTGCTCCATTTTCCTCATCTACATATTAACTGGAGTTATATGCGATTTCAGATATGAGCAAGAATTATAGACCTGGAAGAGACACTAGGTATAATATCTAGATCAAATTTCTTTTACAGATGTGGTATAGACGTAGGAAGTTTAAATCATTTGTCTATGGTCACAAGACTGGCTTATAGCAGAGCCTGAACTCCTGACATTCAGACTGTTGTTTTTTCCTATATTGTTAAAATTACGGATAAAGAGGATTACGTCCTGGATATTATAGGGTTTCACTGAATCTAGGCTGTCTAAATTAATACGCAGTCTTTGTTGCCACAGTAATGCTATTTTTCTGATATTTAGGCCCTATCCACACATTCTTTCTACACCAGCAGCTCAAACAATGTCTGCATATGCAGGCCAGACTCAGTATTCGGGGATGCAGCAGCCAGCCGTCTACACAGCCTACTCACAGACAGGACAGCCCTACAGCCTGCCCACTTACGGTATTTCACATCTTCTGTCTTCTTCTTTGGTTATAGGCAGGTGATCCTGCTGGCTGGTAGCTTTGTATTCTATTGTAGGTTACAATTTAGAAGGAAAATCATCTTACTAATTAAATGGTTTGCACAATCATTTTTCTGAACAGATTTGGGTGTGATGTTGCCAGCCATCAAGACAGAGAGTGGACTTTCCCAAACTCAGTCCCCGTTACAGAGTGGCTGCCTCAGTTACAGCCCAGGATTTTCTACCCCACAGCCGGGCCAGACACCTTATTCTTACCAAATGCCGGGTAAGTAGCTACACATGAAACATGTTTTGGGAGAACTCATTCTTTGAGTAAGACTCACTGGCTTTAGACTAGGAATATCCGATCATGAAGACAGTTTTAAGCTTTATCACAGCTCACACAATTTCTAAAGAAAGACAGATAACTAGACAGAAACATGCTGAAATGGTTGAGTATACATCAGGAAACAGGACCTATGCCAAACTTAAATACTTAAGTTTAAGCTGAGTAACATCAGCAGGAAACCAAGTCCAAGCAAAGCAACTTCCAAGCCAGACACCAGGTCAGCCACACGTTTGGCGTCTACTTAAGCGATTTAAAAGATCTGTAGCACAAAGCAGTATTTTCTTTTCAGTATTCCTGAAGTATGTAGTGCTGTTTTGATTATACTTAAACTTGAATTAACTCTTTTCTAAGTTCCATTTATCATTGACCAATTGAGGATTTTTTTGTTCATTCCTAAAATTCCTCTCACCTATTGATAATATATTGCTTAACAGGACTATTATATAATATTTACTCTCCAATTCTCCATAGAGGCATATAGGATCATCACATTTCTTTTAATTTTAGACTCCTATTAAAATTGTGTTTTATCTTTTTGTTGTTGTTCTTTGTTTTTTGTTTTTTTGATATGGAGTCTGGCTCTGTTGTCCAGGCTGGAGAGCAATGGCGCCATCTCAGCTAACTTTCAACTTCTGCCTCCCAGGTTCAAGTGATTCTCCTGCCTCAGCCTCCTGAGAGCTGGGATTACAGGTGTGCACCACTATGCCTGGCTAATTTTTGTATTTTTAGTAGAGACGGGGTTTCACCGTGTTGATCAGGCTGGTCTCGAACTCCTGATCTCAGGTGACCCACCCGCCATGGCCTCCCAAAGTGCTGGGATTACAGGCATGAGCCACCACGCCTAGCCATGTTGTATTTTAATGCGATAGTTGCCAAAAGAATTTTAGTGACATAGTAAAAACTTTAAAAGCTGGTTACTATCTGTCATTTTGTCTGTACTGAAAATCACAAATCTGGGGCTATATTAACATATTTGAACCAACAGGTATGACATTTTGGTCAATTGATTCAAATGAAATAATTAGATACGTTCGGCTGGAATAGCAGTGCTCTTTTTTCCTAGAATGTAGGTCGAAACATATTTGAAGGCATGCTGTAGCCTCAAAAATTCATACAGCTTCAGTTAGCCGTGTGACAGATAGTATTTTTATTTTTTTCACAAATACTTTCATATTGGCTATTCCAGGTCAGGTCAGTGGCACTGATTACATAACACATGACTAGTCAAAACACATTGATAAAACAAGTAATCAGCTACCTCAATAGCCTTTCATTTTACTTTTTGACAAGCACATTCCATAAGGACTTTTTTGTTTTAGGAAACCTATAATTGACAGCTCACTTGTTTTTGCCGTGATTTGAGAAATCATTAAATGTCAGACCTTGCAGTAAAGTTTTAGAAGGCCCTCAAACCCTAGATTTGTGTAGTATAAACAGTTCTCCCTTGAGTCTGAACACTAATTCACAGCTATTTTTGTTCTAAAGAAAAGACAAAGGGAACAAAAGTACAGGGAGTTGCTAAATGGGGTTCTGTATGTTTATTTCCCATGCTAAAAACCCTGTACAAATGTTGAACTCAAGTGATTTTTTTTTTGTATGTAAATGCAGTTGATATGATTTGAAAGTTCCAGTAGTTTCCTGGAGGCAGTCTTAGTCTGTGTAAGATTTTATCATTTGCGTACCCCTGCACTTCTAGACTCTTAACCCTTGAATGTTAGCCTCACTCCTTATGAAGACTGTTCCCATGTGCTTCTGTTTAGCTCAACAGATTCAACAGGAAAGGGTTTACCAGCTGTTAGAAGAGGGAGAGAGCTAAGCCTATTTTCTGTATAAATGTCTCAACTTCAAATTTCACTGTCTTCATGACAAATTTCAAAGTGTTTCTCTTACAGAATTCTGTGAAATGAAATATTTTTATCATTTTACAAGGAATACTTTTAAAATGCAGTTTGTTTTTTACCTCTAGGTTCTAGTTTTGCACCGTCATCTACTATTTATGCAAATAATTCAGTTTCCAATTCAACGAATTTCAGTGGTTCACAACAGGTATAGTAGCTTTTTTTGTTTATGCTTTTTATATGTATTTCAGATTTTTGAAGAGTACTCGGGTTGCCATATATGTGTGTACCCTCCCAGGATAAGGCTTCTTTATTTAAAAATTATTATAGCATTTCAGGATAGTAAAAAATTACCTATCTAGAATTCTTGGAATATGTATTATTCTGGCTATTTTAGATTTTTTGATTGTTAAACGTTTGTGTTTTAAACATTTATGCTGTAGTTGTTTTAATCATTTGGCATGGAATTACAAAATGTATTGGATATTTTCTGTTATCTTAAAATACTACTAAAAACATTTTTATTTTTCTTGATAAAGCAGTTATTATAATGAATATTAATTGGTTGAATCAGCATTAATTGATTAAAATCAGTTGTAGGATTATGCTACAGACTATATAACATTTTCAGTCCTAAAAAGTGTCCTTTGTTACTAAACAAAATACCTCAAAGACTACTGTTGTCTTTTAAATAATTTTTCTATTTTTTAGTTTTATGAATACTTAATTAATGTTTGATTCCCACTTTTGTCACTGTGCCTGCCTCTGGTAGTCTTTAGTCCTCCTTCTAATTATGTTTTCTTAATATTTTTGTGAGTTTTAAAATCTAGCATGTTAGAATTATGCATGAAGCAAGAATGAGTGTCCCTAAATGAATGAATCAGCTCAGAGTGAGATGAATTCATGATTTATGTTGACACTTCCAAATCTTTTGTCCATATTTTTTTGTTTTCAGCCACATTCGAAGTAGTTGAGATTGAAGAGGGGCTGACTTCTGGTCTGGCAATGCAGTATTTTACGTTAGTATAATTGTTAGACATTTATGTATTCTAAAATGTAAGTTACTGTACAAGTGCTTACTTTTTAGATTTACTGAAGGAATTTTATCACTTGCTTTATTTTAGTTTTATTGGTATAACAAAAGGCAGAAAAGAAATTTTGATCGATAAAATAGTGTGAAATAATAATATTTTTGATAGGATTAAACTGTAATTTAGCATTAGTTAGAAAAACGATGTCTTAAAACACTAAACGTCAGAGTCAGTATATACATTTTATTTTTTTTAATTGAGAAATTTTTTGTAACTTGATTTTACACGTTTATTTATTGGTCCAACAAGCATTTATTGAGTACTTGTATGTGTTAGATTTTTGGCTAGGGATTGAAGATTCAAAACTGGTAAGTCATTGTTCCCTGCTCTTTAGAAGGATTCAGTCCTCCGAAAGAAACAAATATGAAAATAAGATGGACAGAGGGTGAGATATAGTGAATATAATAACAGAAATATACACTAGGCAGAGTTGTACTATAAGGGAAAAACTGCTCTGCCTCTATTTGGGAGGATTAAGAAAAGATTTGTAAAGGAAAAAAATGTTTATTTTAAAACAGTTAATCATAAAATAGATCCGAAAATCTGTGAACATTTAAATACAATGGATCACAATATAAAATGTAATCTGTATTTGGGACCATGGCCTGAGCACCAGTTTGTTGTTTTGGCTAATACCTATTGAGTGCCCATTAAGTGTTAGTAATTGGTCTGTATACAGGGGTACACGAAGGTGGGGCCAGAGTGGATCAGATTTGATTCCTGCCTCATGGAGCTTACAGCCTACTGGGACAAACAGACAATAAACCAGTAAACACACAAATACAGATTTAGGAAGAGAACAGGGTCTGTTAAAATATCAAATGAAGTATAATTTTGAATAGGGGAGGTTTTATATAAGGCTTCTCTATGGAAACCACATTTAGGCCAAGACTTCTAAGAGTTAGGTGAAGGAGGGCAGTGGTGTTTCAGGCAAAGAAAGCGGCGTGTACCAAATCCCCGATGGATGGAAGACTTGGTGTGTCACTGAACTAAAAAAAAATAAAATAAAATAAAAAAGGCTGGAGTTTAGTTAGTGCATGAGGGGCAAGTGCGGAAACACATTTGCAGAGATAGGTGGGGGCCTACTCACGTAAGGCCTGGTGGTTTACAATAAGGAATTTGGATTCTATTCCAAGCCCAGTGGGAGGCTATGATGAGATTTTGAGCAAGAAAATTACATCATTTAATTTATGTTTTGAGAAGATAACTCTGCCACCAAGGTCTTTGGAGAAAGTCAAAAATGGAAAGAGGAGGTAAATTTAAAAATGAATACATTGCCTGCAACAGGAAGAAAAGGGAGCTTGGACAAGGGGGACGACAGTGGAAATGAAAAGAAAGGGAGATCTTTGAGATATGTTTGAATATGAAAAGACATTATATTCCCCAGTGGGGAATAGCCTGGACCTTTCCAGTATGTAACCTCATCTTCTTCTTCAGGAATTAGTAGGCTAACAGAGCGCTTCAGCACAGATGTTTGACTTAGGCACTCTGGGTTCAAATCTAGCTCTGAAACTTACTAGCTGTGTGACCTTATGCAAATCACTTAGTCCCCTTCAATGTAAAATGAATATAGTATTAAGACCACATAAGAGATTATGAGGATTAAATGAGTAAATATATTTGAGCCCTTTGAACAGTGTCTTGATACAGAGCAAGCACTATGTAAACCTCTGCTATCACTGTTTTACTTTGAGAGATATTGCTAGGAACTTTGTTTAGATATGATGAAGTTTTTGTTCTTGGCTCACAAGTGGTAGTGGGAAACATTGGATCGTGAAAGTTTCAGACTAATAGAATTTTAGTTTTCTGCCATATTACCTAATCCTTTATGATAGTATACATATTTACTTATAAAGATTATTTCTTTTATTTTTTGGAAACCACATCAAATGTAGATCTTTGTTTCCTTTGAAACACATTTCATCAGGGGATCTTAATGTTACCGGTGATAACATTTTGGGCTGACACATGCTAGATATATTAAACACCAATTATCACAACAATTCCTTACTCATCATCCTACTATGTGAAAGGATTTTGAAGGGTCATTATCATTTTAAGGTTCTTAAATTTTTTTAATAAAAAGCAGGTCAAGGGTGTTGATTCATTGCTTTCATTTCTCTCTGTAACAAAGGAGGGAAACTAAATAATTGAAAAGTTCACTAAAGACTTTAAGTCAAGGCCTCAGGTGTCATATAGTTTGTGAGAGGCTGGGTAAAAAAAAAAAAAAAAAAAAAAAAAAAAAATCATATTCATCTTCTTTTATTTACTTTTTACCTCCTGCCAAGAAAACAGAATTATCAGTGGTAGCCCAGAAAGGAACAAAAATCACAAAAATGCAGACTGAGGTCTTTGTGGAATCTAGGAGGGGCAGCCCCAACTCCTTGCTGGTAATGTTAGAAGATATGTAAGAACTGATTTTGTGAATATGAGCTGATTCCATCTCCTCCTTTCCTCTTCAAACACGTAGGTCCTGATGATGTAAATCCTTGAATAAGTAATTATCAGGAGCAAAGTGAAGCATTTGCTAACTTTAATCACATTAAAATTTGTATACTGGACCTGGTTTGCCAAAACAATAGGGTATTTCACTACTACGTGCTTGTAAGAGATGCCCACCAAGTAGTCTCTGCTCATGAGGAGCACCTCAAAGCTGTGGACTCAGAAACAAACGGGGCTGAGTACTAATCTTTCAGTTACTGTAATGACTGGTTTTCTTTGGAGAGTATTAAAGAGTAATTTCTCTTTCAAACACACACATCTCAATTATTGTTTCAGGATTATCCATCCTATACAGCCTTTGGCCAAAACCAGTATGCACAGTATTATTCAGCATCAACGTATGGAGCGTATATGACATCAAATAACACAGCCGATGGCACACCCTCTTCAACCTCTACTTACCAGTTGCAGGAATCTCTCCCAGGACTGACTAACCAACCAGGTACAGATCTTCACCCAGGTGAAATACTTTTATATGTTTTGCAGTATCTAGTAAAATGGAGAAAGTGGACGTTCTGAAAACATGGCTGAAAGCTCTCAGATAATTGTGCTGATGTTTAATCTGTGGTAGCATGACTGTGTAAGATGAGGCTCTTCAGGCATTCCAGAAGATCCTTCTTTTAGATATGGGACAGATAGGCGATTTTAATCTCTAAATGATGGTGTACATGTGAATATGGAGCTTTTACCAGACTCATTATTCATTTTGTGAAGAACTTGCAACAAAGTTGTAATATTATCTTCCTTGAGTATGACTGATAATTATTTCCTTTATGCTAAAGAGACTGCATAAGCCCTTCACCTTTGTAAGCTGTCACTAGCTCTAACCAGTGAACATTTCCTACATTCCTGGGATTTGTAGAATCAGTGGTAGGTAATTTAAAGTCTTTGTGTGATCAATGTGTATTTAAAATCCATTGTGTGTTTCATTATCTGAAACTTGCAGTGTTCAGATTTCATTTGCTATACATAATTTGACACAGCTGAAGTATTTAAAGTTAAAAGCAAATTTAACAGAGACTCAACATAATCCTAAGAAAAGTTCCAGGACTTTTTGGAGAAATTATTGAGATGATTCTAAAATCACAAGGAAAGGTGGATGAATTAGAATAGTCAAACCTATTTTTAAAAATAAGAACGAAGTTTGAAGACTCAGATTACCTGATTTAAAGACTTATAATGTACAGTAATCAAGAGAATGTGAAAGGATAGACGCATAGACCAATGAAACACAATGGGGAGTCCAGAAACAGATGCATATTTATGCTAGAAAGCAGATTTTTGAATCAGGATACAAAGGCCAGTTTTTTTCAACAAATGGTGCTGGAACAATTGGACATCTATATGCAAAAGAGGAAAGAATCTCAACTTGTATACAAAAATTACCTCAAAATGGATTGTAAGCCTACATCTAAAAAGCTAAAACTATAAAACTTCTAGAAGAAAAAAATGGTGAAAATCTTTGTGACCCTGGGCTACATAAAGATTTTATAGATATGACATTAAAAACACAATTCATACAAGAAAAGAACAGATAAAATTAGATTTCAAAAAATTGTAAAGAACTTTTGCTCTTCAAAAGACACTGTTATAAGAATAAAAAGCTATAGATTTGGAGAAAGTATTTATAATGCACATACTGATAAAGGAATTATAGAAACATATAAAGAACTCTCAAAAGTCACTAAGAAAAATGAGGTTAAGACATTTTTAAAATATCAGTAATTTGTTCAAGTATATTTTTCTGCCTTCGGTTATTTGCAAGATCCAAATTCATCTCTACTTCTTTTTTACTCAGCTTTGGATGGGAGGGAAAATAGGGAAACATGGTCACAATACTGTAAAACACTCTTTTTAACTGGACCAGTGGGGCCAAGATGACTCAATGCCATTAAACGATTGTTTATTGAGTGCATGTTAAGGATCAGCACTGTGCTAGAAACTGGTATTTCAGCAGTGAATGAGCTCCTTGCACACCTTTAGCTTCCATTTAACAAGCAAGACAAGGATCAAGCAAGTAATTACAATAGTGGGAAAGGGAAAATGGTAAGTCATATGGGGGATATTAACAAGTAAACTAATTTGGACATAAAGTAAAAATGAAACTGATATTTTAAGCAACAGCCAAGGTATGTTTATATCATGAACTGGTGAAATGATAACTTTCATGATTTATAGTTCCCTGTTCAGAACATAATCTTTACCTGTGAATCCAGGGAATAATGGTCTAGTAGATGCAGCTTGTCTTTGATGCCCCTACATTTTAGTTTCTTCCCCTTACCTTCCTTTTATATCCTCCTACCTGTGAGCACACAGCCCCTTTGAATTTCTAGTCCTTGTCCCTTTGGGGCTCTCTGTTTTGGATTTTTCAGCTAGCCTTAGCCTCCCTGGGTATGTGTACCTCTTGCAAGGCCAGGATTAGGGTGAGGTCAGTGAAGCACCCAGAGCAAAAAAATGTAAGGTGGAACTCGTTCTTAAATTTTGTGCCCTAGGCGCCTTACTCATTAAGCCCCAGCCCAAATCACATGTTCCAAATCTGTCATGATCCTCTTTGGGTCAATACTTGCATCGCATCAAAGATCTTTCATTCAAAGAATGAATGATTTCAGAATTCCTTGCTTAACAAGCAGTTACTTTAGGAAGGGAGATATTGGAAGGTTTTTCTCAGTGATGAATGTGTGGGGAAAACAAGGTAGGGTGAGTATTTAAAAATGAAATCACAGATATATTTAATCATCAAGATATCAGAGACTGAATGACAGACAAGACCAGCAGGGTGTTTTTTTAATTTGCTAGACTACAGCTACCAAGAATGAAACCCATTTGTGTACTCAGATACGGTATATGCTATGTAGAGCTTTGTGTAAAATGTTGCTTTTTCTCCAATTTCCATATAATCACAAGAAAGCTTCTCTGCAGGAAAAACACAGGTGGTTGCTTTCCTTATTAGAATGATCAGTATTGAAAATAGCTATTATTCACATTAAATATATTAAATGCAGGCAGGTAGATAGTCTGAGTATGTGACTTTGGATGTGACACATTCACATATGGAATTCTGACTTTCACTATCAGAATGCTGCAACTTCATGAGGCCTCCACTGGTTGCTAAGGCCTAGAAATACAGTTTGACATCATTTTCAGATTTTATTAGACTGTCTGTTGAATTTAAAGAAGGAATTAATTCTGCTTATAACTGTATTATTCTCTCAACCAGAATTGTAACAACACACATGTCTGGATCTTTAAAGAATTCTATGACCTCAGACCTTCAGTCAATGTAGTTTTAAGTTTAATTTTGCCTTTTTAGATCTGGCATATAGCCAAAAAGCAAACAAGTTTATAACTATGGAATTTTTCTTTATTATTGATGGAATCTGATGTATTTAGTTCAAGGGCAAGAAAAGTATTTCCCATTGACTGGTTCTGCATTTTGGACTTAAAGTAGAAACCTAAAATGAAACCCACAGTTTTTCATAGAACAGTCACTGTTGAATTCTGCTTTTATAATGAAAACATACCTTATATTCAGTAAGAGACAGCTGGTTGTTCTGATTTAGAGATAAGCTTAATGAAATAAAGTGGGATCTAAATATCCAAAACTTAAAAGGTACAGTTATTCATTACTGTACTGATTAAAGGATAATTATTCAATCATGTATAGTATTGGGTCAAGAAAAGCCTAGGGCAGTTTTGTAATGACTGATGTTATTTGGAAATTGCAAATAGCATTCCATTATTTAATTTAGCTTATTAGGTAGTTTGACAGTGGATTTAAAGAAACACTACCATGCTGATTAAGAACAGACATTTTACTTCATTATCTTTCCAAAGGTCTTCTTTAAGGTAAAATTTATATTGGGTATATCATATTTTTTATTTGTATTAAGAAAGTTTGAGGACAGATTCGCACATGAAGATGAGAAATATTTTTATAGCTCCTCCTTTTCAAATATTTTAAACATCTTTAAAATCAAATACAGTTAGTCTTGTATAACAATATTGTGTTTTACCCTGAGACTTTGACAAACGTTACAATACATTAGCTAATTGAACCTAACAAGGGCTCCAGAAAAGTAAAGGATGTAGTAATATCATTTCACTCTCTGAAAAGAAGCCAATTTCTTAGGCAGAACACAGCAGCCTTTTGATAACTTCATGGTATTTCACATAAGGAAAGGAAGGGAAGCAAAGTGCTAACTCATCTAATGGAAACTAACAAGAGGATTTAGATAGAAAGGACCACATTCAACTGCTCTGCCAATTTACATTTTCCCTACCTGTAGCATTGCTATGCCCTTTTGCAATTACCAGAGTGAAATTTAGCAGAGGCACTGGAATTAACAGCTTCTCCTTTTAAAAAAAGTGTCAACAAATGTTTAATGACTGGTTGAGCTCAAGTTCCTGGTTTTACCCTTTATCAGAAGAAAGGATAGCACCTTCAAAAGGAATACAGGTCAGTACAATTCCACCTGGGTGATTGCTCTAGGAGCCCAGATGTATCGCATGGCCTTTGCAGGACATGCTCTTTTACTTCTGTGAAGTTCTTTCAGTGAATTCTTTGGCCCTCCATCTCACAGAAATTATATAACACCCATGTGACTTTTTTTTTTAACTTATTGTTTAACTGACAAATAAAAAAGTGTATATATCGGCTCAATGATCGACACCTGTAATCTCAGCTACTCTGGGGGCTGAGGCAAGAAGATTGCTTGAGTCCAGGAGTTTGAGTCTTTAAAAATAAATTGTATCTACTTTTGTGTATAATCCATTGTTTTGAAATACATATACATTGTGACATGACTAAATTGAGCTGATTAATGTATGCATTACCTCACATGCTTATCATTTTGTGGTGAGAAACCCGAAAATCTATTCTCTTAGTGATTTTTAGAAATACAGTACATTGTTATTTCTTCTAGTGACATGTAAAATAGATATCTTTAACTTACTTCCTCTTGTCTAGCTGAAGTTTTATATCCTTAGACCAACAGTTCCCCAGTCTCCCTCTCCAGCCACACAGCCCTTAGCAACCACCATCTTACTCACTTCTATGAGTTCAACTTTTTTGCACTCCACATGTAAATGAGATCATGTAGTATTTGTCTTTCTGAGCTTAGCTTATTTCACTTAACATAATGTTCTCTAAGTTCATCCTTGTTGTCTCAAATGACGGGATTTTCTTTTTTAAGGCCAAACAGTATTCCATAATGTACATATACCACATTTTGTTTGTCTGTTTATCCATTGATGAACACTTAGGTTGACTCCATATCTTGGCTACTTGTGAATAATGCTGCAGTGAACATGGAAGTGTGGATATTTCTTCAACATACTGATTTCATTTCCTTTGCTATGTACCCAGTGGTGTGATAGCTGGATCATATGGTAGTTCTGTTTTTAGGAACTTCCATAGTGTTTTCTATAATGGCTGGTATGGTTTGGCTGTGCCGCCACCCAAAATCTCATCTTGAATTGTAATCCCCCTAATCCCCATGTGTCAAGGGAGAGACCAGGTGGAGGTAATTGAATCATGGGGCAGTTTCCTCCAGGGTGTTCTTATGATAATGAGTGAGTTCTCATGAAATCTGACAGTTTTATTCATGTTTGGTAGTTCCTTCTGCTTTCCTTCTCCTTCCTGCCGCCTTGTGAAGAAGGTGCCTTGCTTCCCCTTCCCCTTCTGCCGTGATTGTAAGTCTCCTGAGGCTTCCTCAGCCATGCTGAACTGAGTCAGCTAAACCTCTTTCCTTTGTAAATTACCCACTCTCAAGTAGTTCTTTATAGCCATGTGAAAACAGACTAAATGGCTGTGCTAATTTACACTCCTACCAGCAGTGTGCAAGATTTTCATCCTCCACAGCATCTCCTACACTTGTTATCTTTCTTCTTTTAGATAATAGCCATTTTAACAGGTGTGAGGTGGTATCTCATTGTAGTTTTAATTTGCATTTCTTTGATGATGAGTCATGTTGAGCATTTTTCATACAACTGTTGTCATTTTTATGTCTTCTTTTGAGTGATGACCATGCCAACCCATTGCCCATTTTTTATTTGGGTTATTTGTTTTTTACTATTGAGTCGTTTCAGTTCGTTATGTATTTTGGATATTAACCCTTTATCAGATGTATGGTTTGCAAATATTTTCTCTCTCTCTACTAGGTTGTTATATGACTCTTTTATAAGTAGAAGCAGATCTAGGTTTGACCTTCTGGTAACCTGAAGAGTCCACTGCTGTTTGCCTGAGAAAGTGTAACCAAATGGTTAAAGCAGGAGTTCTGCAGTCATACCAGTGTTGCATCATACAAGCTATTTAATTTTGATAAATTAATTCCCTCTTCTCGAGTTTCTCCATTATTAAAAGACAATAATGAAGGACCTAATTCACTGGTTGGAGTAAGGTTTGAGTCTCACACACACACACACACACACACATATATAAATACACACACATATATATACAGACATACACATATATATATAAAATGTTTATAACAAAGAGCTTTGACAAATCAATAAGACAAAGACAAACAACCTAGTTTTCTTAATGGGCAAAAGATCTAACAGTTACTTCATTAAAAAGAAGATATCAAATGAACAAGAAACATGAAAAAGTATTCTTCATAATTACTCATCAAGAAAATTCTAATTAAAACCACAGTGAGATACCATCACACACCCAAAATGGTGAAAATAAAAAAGACTAACAATATCAAGTATTGACAAGAATGTGGAATAACGGAAACTCTCGTTGTGGTAAGAGAGTAAATTAATACTGTCTTTAATAAAAATGGGCAATGGGTTAGCATGGTCATTAATATACTGAAAAGGGAGTAATACACTGAAAAAAGTTCAGTGTCTATCAAAGATGAACATATGCCTTCCTTCTGACTCAGGAATCACATTGTCAGGTATACATACCCAAGAGGAATTAAGAGCTTATATCCACAAAGACATGTACAAGAATGTATATAGCAGCTTTATTTATAGTAACCTAAAATTGTGAATAACTCAAATGCCCAGCAACAGAATGGATACACTGTAATAGATACAGTGTAGTATATACACATGAAGAAGTTCTAGCCACATTAAGGAAAGGACAACTGCTGTCCCAGGCTAGAATATGGATTATCTCACAGCAGTGAATGAAGCCAAACACGTATTTCAATTAAAAAAAAAAAAAATTTAAAGAGCAGTGCATGACAAGTACTAAGGGGTGAATAAATGTAGAGTTACCTTTCATAGTTTTCTTAAAAGGCTGTCTTTACCCCCATCAAAACACTTCTGCCCATATTTTGTCCAAATTCTTAGAGCCCTTTTAAGATTCTTCAGTAATTTGAAAAGCATCAATGGGAATAAAGTCTTAGGTTTACTGAAACCTAGATAGGTCCTATAACCACAGTCTTTTCCCTTTCCTCTTCTGCTCTTTTCACCCCTTTGCTGTGACAGCTGTTAGATCCCAGTTCATTTGAATAGCAGAATTATTCCTGCTAAACTCCTCCTTTATGGACTCAGCCTACAACCACCCATGATTGGGATTTCTCAAGTTTTTGTCCTGTCAGCTCTTGCACTGTGGCAGGAACAAAGTTGCCTTATGATAGTTAACACCTGAAAATTGATCTATAATGACTATAAGGAGAGGTTTTATGGAATGTCATCCAAAATGTTTTTTAAATGCATGCTTTATAAGTGAGGGTTAATTGAAATCACCATTTTATTTGAAAGCAGACATTTGGTTTGTGGGATATGGTAACCTCAGGAAAATTCTGTTTCAAAAATAATTAAAAATGGAACTTTTATGTTATTTTATTTAAAAGTTGGTGTATATTCAGACACCTAAAGACTAATTTAATGCCTATACAAATAAGGTGAAACATGATTGACTATAAGACAAGGCTATATTCAACCCCATAACTTAAAAACCTTATTACTATGCTATCTACTCTCACCCAGGTGATAACATAGACCTATGAAATGAACTATGCTGGCAATATTTTAAGTGCAAATAATATTTGGAGCACAGGCATATTTTTTTGATCATGTCCTGACATGCAGTGTTTCCCAAAGAAAATGTTAGAGGTTAGCGATGTAAAAATTACAATTTTTAGAAAAAGTAATGCGTAGTTCGTTCAGATTTGTTTATTTAGATTAATAACTGCTTGGTTGTCCTCAGGATTATTTTATTTTAATTTTTAAATTTAATGATAAAAAATGATAGCCATAATATCTTTTCGTTTCAAAATCATGTAATTTAAATTTAATGTCATTTTCCTTCTGTCTTAGAAATTTTCACTTTATACATATAATTTAAATGAAATTAAATATAAATCAGATTTATCCCTCAGTAATCCAGAAAGCTGCTATGAAACTGAGATTTAGAGAGATTGACTAAAATACTTGAATTCATGTAGTAATTCTGACGCTTCAGCTTGTTATACTGTATCTCACAGTTGCCTCAGTTTATCTTAACAATTGTTCCCACAGGTTTGCCACTACTCAGTACTCTCTACCTCCTAACATACATTCTCACAAGCTTTAATCATTTCAGAGTTTAGGTATCTATGGGAAGTGCAGAAATATTAGATAAAAAGTCTGAAACTTAGGATGTGGCCTAGTTGGAGATACAGGTTTATGTATGAGTCATCACAGATAGGGTCATTAACACATGAGAGAGTTAAGTCCCCTAGATTGTGTGGAGTGAGGACAGTGATCAGACGATGGAATTCTGACATACTAGCTCATAAGGAATGGGAAAAGTACAGGAACCAATGTTTTCTCGATGGAGAAGGACTGATCGGAGTGATTCTAGAACTAGGAGAGTACACAGTATCAGCTGTCAAATAGTAGTTTCGAGGAGGTGGTGTTTAAGAGAATCACACACAGCACAGAGATCCTGGAAGACAAGGACTGAGTCTGTCTATTGCATTTGTCAACAAGGTGATTTCTGGGGACTCTTAGCAGGAGTATTTTTATTGTGTTTTGGTGAACTGAAGCTAGATTATGATACATTGGATATCAGTAAGTGGGGACAGATGTGCTGTCCAGTGCTGCAGCCACTGGCCACACGTGACTCTTGAGCACTTGTAATGTTGCTGGTGTAGATTGAGATCTGCTCTAAGCATAGAATGCTGCACAACATTTCGAAGACTTAGTGTGAAAAAGAAAATGTAAAACATATAATTGATAATTTTATATTGATTACATACTGATATGATAACATGAATATAGTGAGTCAATTAACACATTGATTACATACTGATATGATAACATGGATATATGAGGTCAATTAACATATAAGTAATACTAATTTTACATATCTCTTTTTACTTTTTTTTAACATAGCTGATAAAAACCTTTAAAATTTTATATAAGATCACATTTGTGGCTCACATGGTATTTCTGTCATATAGCACTAGTACGTACTATTATAAGAAGTGTTATTTAAAAGAGAAAATGGAAGCAAATAGTATCTAGATGGAAATTCAGGTCAGAGGGAAGGACTTTTAGACTTATCAGTGACCCCAAGAAATGGGGGAGGTCTAAGGGAAGATGAGAGAGGGTTTGACTAATGAAGCGTGACTTCCTAGGAGGTGGGGTTGGGAGTCACGTTTGCAGGTGGAGGGATGGAATTGATCCAGAAGGAGACATCTCATTCTCTGAACTGTGACAAAAAAGGAGGTGAGGACATATCTAAATGGAGATAAATATGTAGGTGAAGGTATAGACAGGAAGTTGAAGGCATATGGTATAGAAAAGACATTCAAGTTTGATAGATCACATAGATTAAAACTAGTAGGAGTTTGTGTAAACTACAAAAGTTCTGACTCACTTGTGTGTGCTTGGGATTATAAATCTCTTTTTTGCCATACGGAGGTTTTATGGTATAGGAATTTGTTAAGATAATTAATAATGAAGACTCATACTTGATCTAATAATGAAGTACTATTCTTGACACAAGTCATGTTATCTATAGCAGAGTTCGATACCATGCAGAGTCCCTCCACACCTATCAAAGATCTTGATGAGAGAACCTGTAGGAGTTCTGGGTCAAAGTCCAGAGGAAGAGGCCGGAAAAATAATCCCTCCCCGCCTCCTGATAGCGATCTGGAGGTATGCCTACTCATTCTTAAAGATTATAGTATGATGCTTTATTTGACTGAATGATACATTCTCTATCTTGCAGTTCCATTATGTTTCAAACTTAAAAAATAAGATATGCTCACGCCTATGATCCCAGTACTTTGGGAGGCCAAGGCGGGCAGATCGCAATGTCAGGAGATCGAGACCATACTGGCTAACACAGTGAACCCCATTTCTACTAAAAATACAAAATATTAGCCGGACATGGTGGCAGGCGCCTCTAGTCCCAGCTACTCGAGAGGCTGAGGCAGGAGAATGGCATGAACCTGGGAGGCAGAGCTTGCAGTAAGCAGAGATCATACCACTGCACTCCAGCCTGGGTGACAGAGCAAGACTCCTTCTCAAAAAAAAAAAAAAAAACCGAAATATATAATGAATTGAATGGACCCACTTTGTCATAGGCATTTTACAACTCTGAAGTTTGAGATTCCATCCATTATCATAGCAAAATTAAAAACAACAATATAAAGATGATATGGCTCTGCAAATTCTTGGCCTGAGATCTTTGCATGTTTTGATCTAAATTGGCACTGGCAAATTTTAAAAATATAGCCATTGTTTGTGAGATACTTTTCTGTGTAGCACTGTATTTCATAGCACTAAAGTAATGAAAGATGTCCAAATGGGTCATTAGGTTTAAAAAGATAAAAGTAATTTGTATAGAAAGAAAAATTCATCTTCTAAAAATAGGACATATTTCAATAATTTAATAATATGTGTTAAAATTTGTGTATCTGAAAATTTCACTATATGTCATTTTTCTACTTATGAGCTCTTTTAAGATATCCCTGTACTAAGCAGGGTTGATTTTTATTATAAAACGTCAGGAGAAACTATTCTTAACCATAATATGTTACTTCTTACATACTGCATACTTCAGTTAAGAAAAAAATTGAACTTCCAGATTTTGTAAAATCAAGTGACAGACGTTGTGCTTCTTTATAAGAGATAGCTTCCTTTTCTTGAACAACAGCAGCAAGTTCATATCGCCTCAAAAACTTGACAGGTGGTATAAATGAGTGACCGGGCTGAGTTGCCCAGCAGACTGTGAGGAGCTCAGAGTGAAGACACATTCTGAGGGACCTGCCTGTCACTCCCATGTAGGAATGGCAACCAGCCTGGCCACAACTTCTAGTTGCTGTGCTACAGTCAAAACTCTGAAGTTTGTGGGAAATTGCCTAGTTTTCAAATGTTAATTTGTAATTTGAAATCTTTCAAAACTCCAGGGAGTCCAACATGCCTGCTGGCCTAATATGACCCCAGGATCCATATTTGACAATTCTGTTTAGTGGTTACTCATTGATTCTTTTAAATATTTCTTTAAAATCTAATTCTTTGCATAAATTGTGAACGTTTATGAATCCCTAAGGTATAAAACTTTAAAATATGTAGAGTTTCAAGCATGCTTCTGTCATAAAGTCTGAATGTATCTCTTTTTGGTGTTACCTACAAGTAAATGTATGGATTAATTTATTCAAGTAAGGACATCTGACTCTTAAGCTTATAATTATTTGTATAATTCCTGTTTCTCAGGCTTTATAGGAGTTAGATTTGGCAAATTTGAGAAACAGAAAAAAGGAATAGTATTATTTTCTATAAAATGATATCAAGATGATCTCTAACAAGGAAGGGAGACATTTTCTGCTTGTAAATAGATTTCTGTTCCCTTGGACTTTTTAATTTTCTGATATGTATTTTTTGTCTTCAGCGTGTGTTTGTCTGGGATTTGGATGAAACCATCATTGTTTTTCACTCACTGCTCACCGGGTCTTATGCACAGAAGTATGGCAAGGTAAGAAATCAAACATTACTCCAAGAAATCTTGTTATACTTTTTTTTTTGGTTTAAAATCAAGGGCCATTTAAAAATGCTTTTAAGTGTTTTTTATTGCAGTCTGTGAAATCTTCTCTTAATTATCTATTTCTAGTATCTCATAGTTCTTTAATGTGAACTGGCAAATTTAACAAAGCTAATTATAAATTGAATTCCTTGCTATTTCTTCAAAAGAACTGAGTTTTCTACATCCAGACCAAGCTTCTTAGTCTCAGATCATTATTTTAGAAAAAAATTTGTAAATCGAAATGGACTTTAAAACATTATGAAATCATATATTATCCCCAATAAAAGAGCTTTAAGAAATTTTTTGAACTAATTTGTTGCAATTGTATAGCAATAGTGAGTAATCTCTCATCTGACAGATCTTTTGGATTTATGAATGAGTGTTTTTCTGTAACTTGAGTACTCATATGAACAGCAACTGAGGTAACACCCCTTCCCATATACAAAGTTATTGATAGATGGTCTCATGCTCACCTGCCTTTCTCTCTTGCTATTGTTTTTATTTTTTCTTTTATTTATGTATGTATTTATTTTATTATTATTATTATTATTTTTTAGACAAAATCTCACTCTGTCCCCCAGGCTGGAGTGCAGTGGCATGATCTCGGCTCACTGCAACCTCTGCCTCCCGGGCTCAAACAATCCTCTTGCCTTAGCTTCTCAAGTAGCTGGGATCACAGGCGCCCGCCACCACCCCTGGCTAATTTTTGTATTTTTAGTAGAGACGGGGTTTCACCACGTTGGCCAAGCTGATCTCAAACTCCTGACCTCAAGTGATCTGCCTGCCGCTCCACCTCCAAAATGCTGGGATTACAGGTGTGAGCCACCATGCCCGGCATCTATTTTTATAGTTAGCTTCTTGTAACATCATTGTTACAGGCCTCTGTGAGTGCTTCTCCAAAGACTGATGCAACTCTAACAGGCTTTTTGGCTGGAAACACAGCTGTTTAGGCCATAACTGTTTAAGTCTTAGACTTTGTAGGGCTCATAATCAAACTAGAGCCAACTCAGAATGTGTTGGCTTACTGTCAGTTACTATACTCAAAGTTGTATCTTTGGTTCCTTTACATATCACACTTACAGAAATGTCTTCCTGTGTCTTCATAGCATTCCATTATTTGATAATATCTCATGCTCGTGCAGTTTTTAGCAACTATATTAAGCTTTGTCTTCTGGACAAATAATGATAAAATTGCATTCAAGTCTAGTCTTCCTAAATTACACTTTGGGTGAATCTGCATTGTCATTTGGTTTTGGTATAGGTAATGGATATTGCTAAACAGATGTGAAGGTAACAATTTTGTTTAACAACCGTTTACAAGAAGTGTTACCCCTTTATCACAAGTATCATCTAAAGCAATCTTCTACAAAGCAGGATGTATACATGTACACCAGACATACAAGCCACTCCATTGGGATAGAGAAAGGAAATATTAGAATGAATACACACATACACATACATACATTTGTATCTCATATTTATTAATTTGTATTATCGGTTTCATAGTGCACATACTTTATAAATACATTGTCTTAGCTCTGCTGCTAAAACAAATCACCATAGACTAGGTGGATTAAATAGCAAACATTTATTTCTCACAGTTTTGGAGGCTGAGAAGGCCAAGGTCAACCTGTCAACAGATTGAATTCTGGTGAGGGCCTGCTTCTGGGTTGACAGATGGCAGTCTTCTTGCCATGTCCTCCACCTCACATGGTGGAGACCAGAGAGAAAAGGAGAGAAAGCAAACTCTTGTGTCTTTTTATAAGGGCACTAATCCCATTCATGAGGGCTTACCCTAAGATCATAATTAAAATATAAGTATATAATATATCAGTAAGTTATACAGAAATTTGGAGTACACACTTAATAGTCTACTACTGATGAAGTATGCACCATAAAAAGTTTCCAGACAATAATCTGAAGGATTTCTTCTAAGTAGTATTGGCTTATCAGAAGTACACAGTAAATCCTGTTGAACTGATTGCAATATTTTTGTGCAGCTAAGTTTCATATTAGATAAGTGTTTAAAATAAACAATCTAATAAGCAGATTGGCTCAAATAAAGATCCTGTAAAATAGTCACCATGAGGGGTTATACCTAAATATCCATGTTGCCGCCATTGTGCCAAATCAGTGGTAGAACTCATCTTTTGGAATTATCGTTAGCCTTTTGACATATTTCCTGGCTTCACATCTTTATCCTTTTGTGGTCATTTTGATCTTTAAAAATAATAAGATCATTTGGACCCAAGGCAGTGATAAGGATCATGGTAAAACTGTCACTGTATACATTTGTTTTATTTTTGTCAAAAATACCATAGAGTAATGAAGCTGCCTTTCTCAATTTACTGATAAACTGGCTTTAAGAGCAATTCCAAAAAGCAAAGTTCAACTTCCCTCAGCACTGCTGCATCATAGAAATAAACCTGTCAGCTCCCAGGATGTCAATGGAACATGCAGCACTCATTTCAACATACAAGTTTTATTTTTCCAAAGTACTGCCCTAAAAGGTTTTTTTTCAAATACAAAATGGAGACTCTCTGTGCATCCTCTGTAATTCCAGAAGGCTAAAACAGTAGAGAATACCAAAAGGGTGGGGCAAAGTGAGGGGAAGAAGGAAACTAACCTTTATGGAAGGCTCATGATGTGCCAGGCAGGAAGCATCCCACAGTGTGAAGGGGTAGGCTGTTCTCTCAAAGCTATAGATGAGGAAACATATACAGAGAAGTAATAATAATGTGTCCACGGCCACACAACCAGTCAATGGCAGAGATGAGTCCTGGAGCCCCAGATTCTTTGACCCCAGAGCCCACGTTCTTTCTGCCACAGCACATCGCATGGCCTAGACAGTTAATATACTGGGAATGCAATAGAAAAGTAATATTTCTGAACAGGAGTAAAGACAATTTTAGTGAGGTTTTACGTATGCAGTTGGGTGAGTTCTCTTTTAAGTTGTAATTTTAGTGATCTTCTCTCAGACACTTGGGATGTGTTTTCATCAAGAGGTAAAACTTAAGAAATATTCCATGAAATAGAATATGGCAGTACCTGCTGGTGGGGCAGAGTATGGAAAGAATCAGAGGCTCTATTGGAAGGGAATGAGAAAGATAAACTTACATTTATAGGATACCTGTCATGTGGTTCAGCCGATGTTTGACATTTTAGAAGCAATAGAGTGGTGGTGAAAGGCAAAAGCTTTCGCAGATAAACTTAAGTTTGAAAATGCAATTCTGATGCTGACAGCATTCTGACTCTGGCAAATTACTTAAATATTCAGTTTCAAAATCTGTAAAATGGGATTAACACCATCTGTTAGATTGACCACATTGAATAATGTTTTTACTCAGAGCAATTTAAGAAAACTAAAGTAAAAGTGTTTTTAGGCTGTAGTTTTTTCCAATAAAAATAAAAACACTCTTATTGAATTCCATGAAAAACAACTTATATTGCCTTATTTATTGAATTATTGCTTATATTTTTTCTAGAAGTTGTTTTATCATTGACAGTTTTCTTAATATAATTCAGAAAATCGGCACTACCTTTTAGCCAGTAAGAAATTACTATCTTGGCATATTGAGAGGTAGCTAAATAAAGCCCGTCTTGTGAAGCTGTGGACCACATACACCTCAGGGTTCACTGCAGATGGGACAGAGATGACACTGGGTAGCTTCAGTTTCACCACAAACCATAACTGAAACATGGTAAACTAGAGCTCCTCAGACAGACTGCATTCCTTTAACAAATATTTAGTAATATCAATAGACATGCTTCTTGCTTTCATGGAGCTTACAAACCAAACAAAAAACAAAACAAAACAAAAAACACATTTCAGATCGTGGTAACTTCTGTGAAGAAGATAAAACTAGGTTGTATAATGAGTGACTGGGATACGTGACTGTGGAAGTGACATTGGTACTGAGAGGAGCTAGCCCTACAAATTAGGAGAGAGGGAGAATTGGGAAGAGCATTCCAGCAGTGGGTGCTGATCTTCCAGCGTTCCAGGAATATGAAGTCAAGTGCGGCTGGAAGGTTGTAAACAAGAGAAAGAATACTACAAGGTAAAGGGAAGGAAGTGGAACAAGTTGGCGAAATAGAAACCCCCACTGATCGTCCTCCCTGCAGCAGTACCAAATTGAACAAGTATCCACACAACAAAAGCACCTTCGTGAGAACCAAAAACCAGGTGAGCAATCACACAATACCTAGTTTTACGTCATATTACTGAAAGAGGCACTGAAGAGGGTAGGAAAGACAGTCTTGAATTTCCGACACCATCACCCCACGCCAGTCTCCCAGCAGCAGCTGAATGACACAGAGAGAGAATCTGTGCACTTGGGGGAGGAAGAGCTCAGTGAGTGTAGGGTTTTGCATTGGAACTCAGTGCCCTTTCACAGCAGAAAGCAACACTGGGTAGAACTTAGCCAACACCCATGGAGGGGACATTTAGACCAGTCCTAGCCAGAGAAGAATCTCCCATCTCAGCTGTTGGAACCTGAGTTCTGGCAAAGCACCACCACCATGGGATGAAGTGCTCTGGGGTCCAGGCAGTTTAGGCCACAAGGACCACAATTCCTGGACAAGTCCTGCTGCTCAGCTGGGCTTGAAGCCAGTGGACTCAGCAGATGCATGACCTGGTGAGACACCAACCACGGCAGCCAGGGGAGTGCTTGTGCTACGCCTCCCTCAGCCCCAGGCATCTCAGCTCACAGCTCCAGTAGAGATGTCTTCCTTCCACTTGAGGGAGGAGAGGAAAGAGTAAAGAGGAATTTGCCTTGCAACTTGGATACCAACTCAGTCACAGAAAGAAAGGGCACCAGGCAGAGTCCTGAGGCCCCAATTACAGGCCCTGGTTCCCAGATACCATTTCTACACATGTCCTGAAGGAAGCTTTCTTCCTTGAAGGGAAGGATCCAACCTTGACAAGATTCATCTCCTGCTGCTAAGATTCATCA